TCATACCAAGCTCTTGGAGCTTGTTTAAGACCATATAAAGCTTTATTCAACTTATAGACATAATGTGAAAATTTAGGATCAATAAATCTTTTAGGTTGTTCAACATATGCTTTTTCTTGAAGTATTATATTCAAGAAAGAACTATTAACATCCATTTGATATAATTTGAATCCTAAAGTGCAGGCAACAACCAGAAGAATTCTAATGGATTCAAGTCTAGCTACTGGGGCAAATGTTTCATCAAAGTCAACTCCTTCAACCTAAGTATATCATTGGACAACTAACCTAGCCTTATTTCTAGTTATTGTACCTTGATTATCGATTTTATTCTTAAATATCCACTTGGTACCTATAACATTACAATCATCAGACATAGGAACTAAATGTCATACGTTGTTTCTTACAAATTGATTTAGCTTCCCATGCATCACATTTACCCAACATTCATCCCTAAGAGCATTTTCGACTTTCTTAGGCTCAATCTGAGACAATAACTAGCACATGTCAGGTTGTTCAAAACTGTCTTATAAAGTCTCATCCCTTCATCCGAATCCCCTATAATATTTATCTTAGAATGATTAGTCTTAACTCTGATACCAATTGAAATAACGATGTTCGACCTAAACTACACCTAGTGGGTGGTGAATAAGTGATTATGTGGAATTAAAAATTAATAATTAATTAACAACAAGTCACTATTAATTATATCTAGATAGTTAATCAAGTAGTTCAATTTTTTCTATGTTGAAATACCGCAATCATGAAAGTAACAAACCAACAAAAGAAATGATCACGGAGAAACCCCAACTGGGTAAAAATTTTGGGCACTTTACCGTCAGAAATCCCCTATAAACGAATTATGAACGTACAGTCCACCAGACACGATTACCACTAGTACTTTTTAACCTCGTGCTTGTAATTCCCATAGCTCTAATGGATGTGTACTTCTGTACCAACTCCCAGTTACAATTTTCAAAGCCCTTTTGGATTGCGCGCTCCTGCAACAACTCCTGACTTTTTGAATTCGTCTATCTTATGTGGATCAACAAAGAACTCCACGTTCTCCAACAACTGAAACTCCAATCACATTCCTTTGATCTTCAGCACTCTGACAAATATGTAGGAAGTAGGGATTTTGTATTTGGATTAAATGGTTTTGATATTTTCAATGCCAAGAACAAATCAATCAATGAAGGTTGAAAGTTATGGATGGAGAGAATATGAAGCAACCAATGTTTTATAAATGTTCAACATTCTGAAAACCGCTCATAGGTGTTTGGTATTTATAGTTTAGGTTTTGGGGTTGAATGGGCCGGACAAAAACCCTTAAAAACGAGAACTAAAATTTTTCGAGAAATCCTGTCGTTCAAGCGAAGTCCTGACAACAGGCTAGCGACAATGTTATTGTTTCTGCCGCTCGAGCCAAGTCATGGCGACAGTCTACCGAAATTGCGGCTCCATTTTTTCTTCTTCCATTCTCGAACCCTAGACCTAATACAGCTCACTTTCTACTATTTGCAACTTACTCTTTGACTTTTACAACATATTAAATTTAGTCCACTTTGTTCACAGACTTGTCAATTACATCAAAAACCTAACAAGATACTTGAATCAAATCTGATACTAAATCATGCTAGAATAATAAAAATTAAGGTCCTGAGATCTAGATTTCAATAAACAACTTGTCTGGTTCTGCTGAAAATCAGCCAAAACTGGCTTTTTTTGACCGTTGAAGAGGGCAACGGTTATAATTCAAACAAAGTGGCTGCTTTTTGTGTCTGATGGTCAAAGGCAAACGGTCCAAAAATCAATTTTGATAAATTTTAATCACCTCCAGACAGGCTGAAAAGAAATAAATTATACATTTTCAAAAAATTGCAACTTTTAGAATAACGGATGTGAACAAGATTTGACATTATTTTTTATATTGCGCCACATGTCGACACATGATTGAACAATTTTTAAAAAATACACATGGGGTGTTTATTTTTGATTTGAGAATTGATTCTTAAATCAATTCTCATTTTCAACCACACATTCTTCAATAAAATAATGTTTTCCATCACATCAATATTTTTTTTCTTTTTTTTTCAATCACACATTTCCCATCATATCACTATTCAAAATCAATTATTTCTCAAAAAATCCCTACCATTCGGTCCAATAATTTTTGAATTTTCATACAATGTCAACAAAGTTATATACCATGAAATGTATTCTTGTCAAATATTTCAGTCCATCAAGCCCGGGTGGGGCACATGCTTAGTACTTGCTTGTACTTGTACTTGTACTTGCCTGTTGTAATAGTGTAATATCTTAATTGAGATCAGACAACTAATTAAAGTTGATTTGATTATGATTAAAAAATGATTTAACAGTGCTTTATGAAACTAAGTTTAATATTTCAACGGTCCACTTTCATCCACATGCCCATATATACATGACATTCTTTCATCGTGAGATGTGAATCAAATCCCTGGTCAAATCATTTTTCACTTGTTTCTTCCACGATCATATTCTACTTTCGACGTTAACTTAATTGTCGAGGTATAAATAATGATTGAACCTTTTTTTGGAACAAGAAGTTTCACATTTGTTACATACTAAAATAATCACGATGCACCAATATACCATGTCACTCATGAAAAATGTTCAATCACGTGCTCACGTGTCGTGGGATGAATATTTATGCCTCAATAGTCGAGACCTGTTAGACCAAAAGAACGTCTCGATGGGCGAGGCTCATGAGCGAAGGACTACAAAATCCTAATACTTGATAAGGAATGCGATTTGAAGGCCTTAGACAACCTCAGATAGTTTTTGACATGGACATAGTTCTTAGTGTGAATTCTAACAAAATCAACCATATTCAATGCACCAAGCCTTTACGTGCAAATAATGAAATTATGGACAAGTGTAACAAAAGCACAAACATACATAAGCTTTAAAAATAAAACTTAAACATGATTTTCAAAATAATGATGAAGAATGTGAACTCACGACTAAAAATCTCCTCATTAATTGCTTATAAATTGATCATTACACAATGAATAAAGGTTTCCCACTTTCACTCTAAAAATCATGAAGATAAAAAAAAATTGGGGTCGAACCTCTCGAGAATTGAAAGAAGATATTTGACTAAGAAACAAACTCTGACTGAAAGAACATCGGAATTTCTGTGTCATGAACAAAAATTGACTTCAAAATACGCCTGCATTTTTCAAAAATAAAAATAAAAAAGGAAAAATACTGTCAAAAGCGAAAGGAAAAATTCTACGGCCATTGACTTGAGAAAATATCACCCAATTTTTGAGGTCTACAACTTCATCGATGTCGCAAATATACAGGTAATTTATAGATGAATAGAAATATGACCAAGATCAATCGACAATTAAATGTCAAACAAATTTTAACGTCAACAACAAAACATCATGTTATAAACAAATTAGCATCAATCAAAATATATGCAAGACTGAAGGCAAGTTTAGTAAGTACTGTACTGAATATGACCATTATTCAAAGACTTTAACTTTGTATCTTTAAATTACTATGCCCATGTTTGTTATAGATTAGAATCATGTTGAAAAGTTGTGGGTCCCATGAAATATATCGTTAAAATTTATTGTTGACTTTGTTTAGTGCAGTCTGCTTTGCCAGTCACGTTAAATGTAAATAATTAAGAAGGACTTGAAAAGAGACAAAAACGTTAGACAGGATTAGTATTAAGGAATGACCTTACTGTTGTGTCCAGACTCCCACACGTCATATACCCAACTCATTGTAAGCTTCCAAATAATAATAGTGTAATGCTACTTTGTCCAAAAAGCCTTACAAAAGGGGGAGTGCCCAAGTGAGGTGACACTCCCCCATTGGACCAGCCGAAAGGGGAGTGCCCAAGTGAGGTGGCACTCCCCCATTAGGGAGTGCCACCTCACTTGGGCACTTCCCTTTTGTCATCCAACTTGGGCAATGTAGCATTGCTCATAATAATATTAGCAATTCCATTTCCCATGAGATGAACTGCATGCATATACCGACTGGTCCAATGGGGGAGTGCCACCTCACTTGGGCACTCCCCCTTTTGTCATCCAACTTGGGCAATGTAGCATTGCTCATAATAATATTAGCAATTCCATTTCCCATGAGATGAACTGCATGCATATATCCCGGCAGCTACACTAACAACATTGTACACGTGCCTTCCAATTGTGCTTTAAACCTCATGCATGTACTGCCACGTGCTAGCAAATCTTTTTACGTAATTGCCTTTTTTTTTTTTTTAATTGAGATTTGATGTAGTCCAAATCCTTGTAAGTTAATTCATATTTTCATCTTTATTAAATGTGAGATTTTATTTCTTAACATATTCCTACAAGATGGTGGCCCGTTTGAGCAAACTAATATTGAAATTTGTGTGTTCATTTTTTGAGTTTTAATCAAACCGAATTGCTCGTTAGAGTTTAATGGACTATAATAACATATTAAGACTTAGAATTTTATCTTATCGGACAAATTTATTAAGAAAATTATTCCAAATATTTATAAATTGATCTATATTTTCATGTTTATTCTATGTTTTTTTTCATTTTATTATATGTACTTAGCAACTAAGGAATAGCTCCCGCAAAAGCCAACAAATTACGCGATAAAGATTCGGGACCAAAAGTACTCAAGATTATCAACCTCGAACTACTCAAATAAATGACGCCCACAAGTTTCTTTATTTTTAAATAAATTGTTTTTCATCCATGGCGGTTAACACAGTCTATTTATTTCCAAATTTACAGGTATTAATGCAACTTCGAAGGAGGAACCAAATGAAAGTTCAGAGTCAACTAGAGAAAATGAAAAGTTTACACCACCATACTAATATCCTCTCACCAACCCAGTGCAGCAATTTTGTTGTTCAAAAAATAAATGCCCCACTCCCTCTAGTTTGGTCCATGGTTCGTCAATTCGACAACCCGCAAATATACAAGAAGTTCATCAAGAGTTGCAACATGAGATCCGGCTGTGGGGGCGCCGGCAGCGTGCGGGAGGTGGAGGTGGTGTCTGGTCTGCCGGCGAAGAGGAGCACGGAGAGGCTTGATCGCCTTGATGAAGATTTCCATGTTATGGTGTTCAGTATTATTGGTGGCGATCATAAACTTGTGAATTATCAATCCACCACCACTATGTATGAGGATGAGACGGAGAAAGGCGGCGGGAGGACGGTGGTGTTTGAATCGTACGTGGTGGATATTCCGGTGGATAGTTGTGAAGAAGATACTTGTGCGTTTGCCGATACGATAATAGGGTGTAATCTCAAATCTCTAGCCAAAATCGCAGAGAAAATGGCATGCACATGAAATTCTTGTACTGTAGTTCTTGGTATGTTGATGTATTTTTCGTGATTTCAAGGGAATGTTACACTTTTCTTCCCCAACTTTTGCAAAATTTAATAAATTCCTAACCTTTCGATTATATAGCAAAATTCGCCCTCCTTTCACCTTGTCATTAAATGACGGATTTGTCATTTAAAAAAACATAAAAAGCAGTAAAATAATAAAAAAAAAAAGGAAAATAATAATAAATGAAGTTTCATAATTTCTCAAAAGTTGTGTTTCGACCCATTTAAATAATTTTATGAAAATGCTTATGATAGTTAGAAGAGCTTTTAGGGGACTTCATTTCTATGGGTGGACATCATTCTATTTGATTTTGAATCCAAGAGAATCGAATCGAACCATGACCAATGATTTTTTTTTTTTATAATAGAGCTAAATGATTTTTGCTAAGATATGGAACTAAATCGAACCGAGCCGTTCGGTTCTGGTTTGGTTTGATCCTAGTTTCATTTTTTAAGTTTTCAAACTTGCACCAAATCATAAGTTAGTAATACATACCTAAGTAAAAACAAATAAAAAATAAACATCAACTATTCAGCACGTTCAAATTATCAATCATCAAGATCATAAAAAGTTTAAACTAACAAATAAAATATAGTCATAATTTAAATACACAAATTGATTTTCATTCTCATACAAAAGATTGTTTAATAAGTAATAGCAATGCTTCACTAAATTAATTGCAGCAACTTTGACGACACACCTCCACAATAAAGAATGACTTTTACAGTCCACTTTTGTAAACAAGCACTGACCATTTAATAGTTCATGAATGTTTATTGAATTTTCCTCTATTTGTGAAGAACGCAAATAATTCATCAAACAATTAAGGTCAAAAAATAGTTTAAAGGTTTTTTTTTAAATGGCTACACAATTTCATTTTTAGAACTTGAAAAAGTTCCCTCAACTAGCGTGATAAAATGTGATGTCTGCTTGCCTCGACGTTGTATAAATTGAAAATGAATGAAGGAGAATTGATTCAAATGAATACAAAATTAGGGTGTATATAATTAATGAGTTGTCTCTAATGACTTAGAATCAATAATTGGGCAGTATTCAATAAATGGGTTGTCTCCAATTAATACAAAATTAGGTTCTCCATTAATATATATACACATATATTAAGTTTGGTTCTCGTTTTTAGAACACAGATTGAATCAGAAACATAATCAAATAGTTTTTGGTCCGAAGAATCAAAACTATAAATTCTTTTTGTTAGAATCGAATCGAACCGAACCGAACCGCTCGATTTGGTTGGGTTCTAGTTTGGTTTGGTATGAACATTTTGTCCACCTCTAATAATTTCCTCTAAAAGGGAAAAAAACTCATTTAAAAGTTTTCGAACAAAAATTAAAATAGCTTCTTTCAAAAGCTCTTTTATATGAGAAAGTAAAAATAATGCCAAACGAGTCAAAAATGAGTCGTACTTAAAAATTAAGTCCATGTTAAATGTTTATTTTTAGTAAAATCTGCTATTAAAAAATGAAGTTCACAAATCAAGCTTTAGACTAACTAGGATAATCTACTATTCTCTAATAAACACATGTACTCTAGATAGCTCACCACATTATTATTTAATATAATTGTCATATTCTTTTCCAGATTTGAATATAAATATATATAAGGCCCCGTTTGATGGACCATATTTTTCAAGGAAAAAGGAAAATAATTTTCAACATTGCCAAAGAGTGGTGTTTGATTGCAAAAATTTTGCCAAGAAATTTTTTTCCCTCCCCCCTCCCCACACGCCCCTTTTCCTAGATTCCCACCATTTGGTGGGAAAGAAATTTCCATCTGACGTCAAATTTTTTTTTTTTTGGCAATGAAACAAATTTCATAACCAATTATAAAATTTTTCTCACTTTAATAGACAATTTTTATGTAAAATAAAGCCAAACGAATACTAAATTTTGATTAAAAAAATAATTTTTTAGAAAATCTTTTTTTTCCTTTTTTTTTTTACTTTTTGGCAATGAAAACAAATTTTATAACCAATTGTGGAAATAATTATCACTTTAATGAATAATTTCCATANAAATTATCACTTTAATGGATAATTTTCATGTAAAATAAAGCCAAACGAACACAAAATTTAAAAATTTTTCGGGTGGAAAATTATACCAATCAAACACACTTAATTAACAATTCCCTGCAAAACATTTTCTAGGCAATTACTTTTTCTGAAATTCATTTTCTTTCCACCAATTTTCACCCTTACAATCAAATGGACCCTAAAGTAAAATTCACAACACATGTTGATTTAAGCATGGGCTAAAAACACATTAGCACATAAATTTTAGAAAAAGATCTCCTATTCCATCAACACTCACGTACCCACTTGCTGCCAAAAACCACCCAACAATTGCAATCACACCGGGGGCGGCTTCCTAACCACCGCCATAGAAAAAACTGTATAGGAAAGTGACTAATAATAATAATAATAATAATAATAATCAACACTAGACTGCAGAACCACCATCAACAATATTGCATTTGTGAAGATGGTTTTTGGCTGCAGTAATTGTGAATTAGGATGAGGATGAGGATGAGGACGGGGATGGGTGTTGACGAGTATGAATGAGTGAGTTTGGTAGAAGAATATAACTTTTTTTTTCTTCTGTAAATTCTTCTTTTTAATGTGTTAATATGTATTTGATTGTTTCGAGTTTTATATATTTGTACTTTTGAAAATAATGCGACTTAATTTGCAATTTTNTATTTGTACTTTTGAAAATAATGCGACTTAATTTGCAATTTTCCTTACTTTTAATTGTTTTATTAGCACTTTCTTTTATGTTCATTTATTTAAAGAAAATGACCAATTAATAACTTAATGGTCATAATGGAGGGAATGACAAGTAAAAGTTGTGGATGAATATGCTAAAAAAGATTGAGGGTAGATTTATCATGTTTCGTAAAAGTTGAGGAAAAAAATGCAAATTTCCCAAATTTCAGAACAATTAATTTTGCTACAAGGATTGCAAAAACTTGAAAAAATATTGCTGTAATAGACGTGTACAATTAGAAAATTTGTTATTGAACTGCGACTTTCTATGTTCAGATTGAAGTAGCATGTAAGAACATATTCAAAGGGGTGGTTATATTTTATCTGAGAATCAAATCAATTCTTATTTTCAACCACACATTTTTCAATAAAATAATATTTTCCATCACATCAATAATTTTTTTTTTCTTTTTCAGCCACACATTTCCCATCATATCACTATTCAAAAATCAATTATTCCCCCAAAAGCCCCTACCAAACAAGCATTCAATTGGCTCTTTAAACATAAAATGCTCTATATTTAAAATATTTCGTACACCTAACTCACGACAACCTTGTCCTGTCACGTGGAGAAGGGAGTTTTTTAGGTCTGTGATGAAAGATGAGGGGCACAAAAATTATAAATTTTTTATTTTTTATTTTTTTACAAGAGCATTTTTGTTATATCAACACCACCTTGTATGATTTATAACTCAAAAGTGATCATAATTATACTTAAATCCAGAAATAGGGAAGGCTAGTTATATTTTTGAATCGTAAGGGATGTCTTTCATATTTTCAAAAAGGTAAGAGAATAAAATAGTCACTATAAAGCAATAGATAATATAACTATTTAATCTTATACAAAAGGATTATATTTTATTCAAGTTATCTGTCTCCACGAAATATAGAAGTCATAAGGATGATTAACACAAATTATCCATATCCTTTGCCAGTTTTGCGTTAATCGTCCATATCATTTTAATTTTGATATTTTCACCCTCAAATCCATAAAACGTTGCAACAATCGACCCTACAATCCAATTTTGTCAATTTCTTCTATTAACTTGTTTCGCGCTCTCTACATGACAAAATTTAGGGAGGTAGAAACGAGAGTTCACTAAACCACTATTATATGATTTTATAAAACAATATAAAAATGAAAAATATAAGAGGAAAATAAATTCCAAAATGAAAAACCCAAACCACCCCCACTCTCATTTTGCCACCCTCACTCCTCCATGCTCAACCCTCTTTCAACACTACCATTTTTCGCTGCCTTCACTATCGCCAACGTTGGAAATTTTGGTTTAATTCGTTGGTTTGACCAATTATTTTAGTGGATGTAGTTAGATGGACAAAAGATTTCTTTGACCGAGTGCGTTTTACACTATGAGTAGATTATTGTAACGTATTTATTTTCTCAAAATCAATTTAGGGTGAATGAGAAATTAAGATCAAGATATGATGATTTGAAGTTGAAATAAATTGAAAATAAAAATTGGTGGGAAATTGAATAATGTTAATCCCACATAGAAAAGTTAGAAGAATATAATCCATTTTATATTGCCCAAGTTTGGGACTTGGATTTAGGCCCCAAAATGTACCAATAGTTTCTGAAGGTGAGATAACTTACATGCAGTAGGTCGAGCCAAAGCCCACACGCGTGCACCGTCGTCTCGGTTCTACCAGCTGGCTCGTCATGGTCACGGGTCGTTGTTTTGAGCTTATGCTAAGTTGGTATATATTTTTTGGTAAAATAATATTTGAATTATTTTATTTTATTATTATTTAAAACAATAATAATAATATATTTATTTATATTATTTATTTTCTCCGAATTTTCTGTTCACGACATGTGGCTTCTTCTAGAAACTGGTGGTTGACAGTTAAACTGTCTGTCCAAACGGATTGTTTTCGGTTGAAGATACAACTTTTCAACTTCTATATAAAGGTCCCCATAACTCGGATTTTAGTCATTCCAAAATTAATTATGATTTTTTTCTCTTGCAAATTATGTTCCTTCATCCCCACATTATTCCATATTTTGCATTTCGATCTCGAATATTATTTTCGTGCATTTTAGTTCTCCAATTTTAGAGAGATAAAAAACGTTAGTATGTTCGTTGAATCTTGTAATTTGGAGTGCTACTATTACAAGTCGATGTCGTCGTATCTTGAGAGATGAGTGTCGAAA